GCAAAATCGTGGCGGGTGTGGTTTAAAAAACAATTAATTAATTGCGTTCAACGATATAAATAAGCCTTATTATTGGTACTTTAATAGAATAAAGTGATAGCAAAATCAACAAACGATAAATTACAGCTGTTTCAGAGGATATATTTATCGGTAGGACAATTTTAATAAATTATCCGAAAGGAAACCAATAACAGTGTAAGTATAATTCAAGCTATCGATATTATTTTGGGGATTTGAATAATAGATACATTTACTTTCATGTGAAAATACATTGGTGCATATTTTTTACATATTTCCTTGACAACTGGCCCCTGACATGCTCCATTATTATGTTGATATTCAATTCTGTCAGCGTTTATTATGACTTACATAATACTATATCAATAAAAGAAAATATTTACACCGATGTAAAGAAAATAAAAATTAATATAACGCTGAGTTATATGAAACTAAAGAAATGCCCGGAGTTTTACAACTTAATTAAAATACACTTATAATTTTTTTTTTACTCTCAATCTTTCCTCCTGTAAAATAGCATTTATGAATAATAAATGTCGTAGTAATTAACTTTGTACATATTTTTTATTAGCGCAGCTACATGCTCGCGTTTCTTTTATTTGAGTGTTGAAAATTTAAAATTATAATTTACATTCATTTTTGCACAGCAATGAGTGAACATGTTATGCCCATTAAAATGATGTTCTTCACTGAATTAAAACTCTTATACCGCAAAACGTTTCATATGGAGACTGAATTCAAACTATTCTCAATGACTCGATGACAAAAGATTCCTATTATGAAAACAATTAGCACCGTTTTAACATCCAATTCCCACGAGATGATAATGACTATCTGACTGACAGTGTTTGAAAGCCATTCAGATTTTTAAAGAGAGAAATGTCCACAGCTATAGATTGTATAAAGAGACTTCGCAAAGCACAAACAGAGTAAAAGAATAACTCTTTAATAATTTAAATTTAACATGAATCTCAGTAAGGCAATCTTTTATCTTATATTTTCGTAAAGTCGTATTGAGTCGTTACTGTTGCTTCAAGGTCGCCTATTTTCGTACAGACATATTAGTAAATCCACTGATAAAATATTCATGGCACATATTGTGTAAATGCTGCTTAAAGTAAAGTTACAATAGTGACGTATTAAAATGCTTTTATTCTACATAAACCTAATTTAAGCACTCAGTAACATATATACTTTATGTTCATATCAATTTTTATTATATTTGAAATAAAAAAAGCAATAAAATTTCGCAATTGTCAAGTAGTATTTATAAGACAACAAAATAATACGTATAAGATGTGGCGGAGTATTTTTTAATGACCTTTTCCCAAACAATTAAACCAGCCTTTCAGTCTGATGATTGATGTCCGTTCACATTATTGGATGCTTTTGTACGAAATGCAGTGTTTCACTGATTGCGGTCATTAAAATACTCTTTCTTAAAATATCAATTTAATAATTACGAATTTTCTTTCATTATATTATATAAGAACATAAATTTAAAACTCGTTGTTCGAAGAAAATGAGATTGTGAAGCTACCTTAGTTTATAGCGAAGATTTGAAAAGCGTTGCATCAAATAGTTCACATCAATTTACAGATATACGAAATATTTTATTGCATTGAATAAAATATTTTGTAAATCTGCATTTTCATCTCGCCTTCCGTTGACCACGATCCAGATTTAATAATGTAACCAATTTATTAAAGCTTTTATATTAAAAACTTTATATTTCTATACTTCTATAATCGTGTTTTAATTATGAGAAAAATAAATAATATGTAGAATAATGAGCACAAAAATGGGTATAATTTTAAAACATAAAGCTTAATAAAATTTTGTTCAACAGAATTAATTTATATCTGTACAAATGCGTTTCATAACTTTAGCCATTATCACTGTTCGTTGGTTCTAACAGTTTTTCTATCAACTCTTCCAGCTACTTCGTTGCCTAATGCTAGTGATCTAGAAAAAACTTTATTTTAAAATGGAATGAAAATTCTTAATAAAAAATATAATTGTGTATTTATTATACTAGTATAAGAATAATAAGAATCAATAAGTACGCTACTTTGATATTGAAGACCTATTTTTTTTTGTTGCACGTATTGCTTCGTTTTTTTTTTCAAAATACATTGTTTTAGTTATAGAAAATTTTGCATATTATATAGATTTTTAATACAACTTTTTTATTGAATTAATAGTTCAGAAAAAATATATAATAAATATAGTCGTCAATTTGGCAATCTCTTACAATTTTAGTAAGTTAAATATTCAATAGAAAACTTATAAGAAACAATGAACTTATATTAATTGCAAAATGTGTATTAAAAAACATTCATTAAAAATATTAAGATATTACGTCGTAGTTCACGTTTAAAGTAATTCGAGCGCCAATAATTCCTCTCAACTTGTAGGCATAGAAAACAAGATAAAGGTTAAAGACAGTTTGAATGAAAACTGGCTCTTTGTTAGGAAACTTAACCTGAATGAATGCCAATTTCAATTACGAATTTTCTGGTAACAATATAGTTGTTCATTTCCTGCTTGAAATACTATGGAAACTTGATACATTGTAACAAAAGACTATATATTAACTAATTAATATCTGCATCTACTAATTCCTGATGAAAATAATGAACAACAAAAAATACGTAATAATATTAAAAGTAATATTGATTTTATAAAGAAAAATTGCTTTCTGTTTCACTATCGAAAGACAAAAGATCATACAACCGAAACCCTAAAGTATTCTCAAAGAAAACCCAGAAGGATATTCATAAAGGGAAATATGGATTGCAATTTACTTATTTGTTCGAAGGGAGCATCCCTAGAGATAGATTATACCCGGGGTAATTGAATAAGAAATGAGGTAAACAACGTTGCTATGATTTGAGTATGCTCCTTGAAAAATCTACGTTATTTCGACCATTTTTCAATATAATCCTATTACAAATACTTTCTGTAATAAATCAAAATCTGAATTTCATGAGATTACTAACTTTATATGAGTACATTTCAATCATTTGATTGCTTACGTCGATTTGTATCGGAGGAATCTATTTGTGGGAGTGAAATTTTCTGCATTAATTTATTGTTAAACAATGTCTTCTTAATTATTCCTCGTTCTGTGATATGTCTATGTTATTTTTATTTATTATTTCATCACTATAGTTACTGACAAAGGTTAGCATAAAACCCTGGGGAAGACCGACGTGATGTGGACGTGTTTAGACTAGTAAGTGGTTTGAAAGCTGGGTTATCATATAGCTTGGACAACAAGGCAGGCATCCAAAAGAAGTAGTAGATTTTCATACAAGGAAAGTCGGGTGTGAACGTAGTCTAGAACACTCATAATATAGTTGGAAACATTTTAAGTAGTTTATATTCAATATGGCATGGAGATTTTTAATTAAGATGCGCAGCTCCAGTTTAAAACAATAAACAGGGCAGCTAAAAGAGAAATGGCAAAGAAGGCAAATTATTTTAAGTAAAAAAAACGAATTAAGCAGAGAAACCGTTTCTGGATACTAATTATGTTTGTTTCTCTTAATACATACATTACAAAGAATATGGAGAGTTAATTTATATGAAGGTTTATTAAAATGTTTTCAACAATACTTATATATCCCGAAACGAGATTGTATAATTAAATTTTGTACCAAGTAAAGCGACCAGAAACAGGATTCCTTTGTACTAACAACTACTTAATATAATCATGACTATACAATCTATTAGCTATTTCTCATTGTTTAAGTCGCCTCCGATAAGTAATACTGAGATCCACTGGGATTCAACTTCTAATCGAAACGGGAACTTTGTTCGTAATTAACTTTTTGTGTCGGTAATGAATTAAGGTACAAGAGGAATGACTGAGGTTTTAGCTGTTTACATTAAATGTATTTAATAAAAATTCTCTTTGGAATTATCCATACAATTTTCCGTTCAGTTTACACATTGACATTTTCCGTTGTGTACATATAATATGATGTTTTATTAGAATTTTATATTTACCTTCAAAATACTCAAATTTTCACATCTAATATACTCGATAGATACCGGATTTATTTGTATCCACGGCTTTGCATCGCATCACGTTCTTGGAATTCAAACATCTCCATATTACTGATTTGTTGGAAAAAATCTTTATTTATATAAAACTATTGGGAGTTTTATTTTTTGCAGTTATTATATTTACTAATGTGAAATATACACAAATATAATAAAATTTATATTATTGGATAGTTACAAATTTAACATATATTAGAATGGTATAGAAACTTTGTGAAACCAACTTTGGTTGATAAGCTCGTCTAAAATTTATAAAAGTAACTAATGTTCCTATCTGTCTAAGTTCTGAGTATAGAGTTATATCATAGTTACGTACGCTAGTCGCATGTTAAACTATTAGGGAATACGGTACTTAAGAAAATTTATAGCATTTATTTGTTACTTAAAAAATTTATGCAAACTTCATTTGTTCAATCAAAACCAATACAGGGTACATATTACCCATTAAAATAAGTTATTTTCCATTACTATTTATTAATTATAATTCCGTCCGAATAAATATTTAGGTACTATCTAGCACAAAACATTTTATTGAAAGTCATATCAGGAATAAAGCCAGGCTTACATCATTTCGTAATATTAGGTCATGACACATGAGATTTGACGTTCCAAACTAGACTCTGATCTCAAATAATGTGACGTTTGGTTAGAAATGATATATTTGAATGTATTTCAATTTGAGATCCCGTGTGTGTTTCAAACAATGACTTTTCAATATTTTGTGACATCCACAGCAAAATTGTCAACTTTAAATATTCTACATTATAACAAATAAATACACGTAACACGTACAAAAATAGGTCGAATTATTCAATGTGTGTTTAGAGAATGTTCAGTATAAAACATTTAGATTTAATGTTTCTTTGTCCTAGCGATTTTGCCGTCCAAAAGAAAAAGAACGAGAATCGGTAATGTCGAAATTTGACAATAAAGCATTAAAGGTGATGTTCTGTGGTGATCTACCGATAAACGATCTGTTTCCGCGTGAGTGACAAAGCAATTTAATTCACTTGAAATGTGTATATTGGACAAGTTGAAAAGCTCGAGAAATCTGTGTCGCATTGAACGAAGCACATCAACATTCAGGCGTTGAGTACAGTTTATTATCCAACCACTACACAAAGAAGGAATTATAAATCGTAGCGTTATTTCTGATGAATAATGGATATTGTATCACAATTGAAGAGTCTTATTACGGTTGTGGAAACAAATTAACCGGACCTTTCTAGTCTTAAGCAAATGTAGACACAGAAAATGTATGTACGATTGTTTTGGTGGACTACTTAAATGAACAGATTATTTTGGTAGTTCTATATTGTCAAATATTAAGAACAATGATGGAAAAGTTAGCTGTACCTAAGCAGCCCTGAGTGATCATCCGCTTCAGTCCACTACTGTTTCATTACAGCTGTAAATCCCATTATTCACGTCAGTCCCTCGCTAAATAAGAGGTAGTTGCGATTGAAATGTCTTCGACACTCGCCGTGAACACTAAAATTTTGCTTCCATAGATTACTATGTACTACCTATTTTAGCATTGAAAAATACTTGTAGTAAAAGCCTCCAAACTATTTCAAATACTTTATGAGTGCTTATTAAACATAATGTCATACACAAAATACTATTTTACTCCTTCATATTATGTGATATAAGATTTTCGGGAGTTTTATTTATTTAAATGAAACTAATATTTTTTGGATATACAACTATATATTTTTGTAAAAAACTACATGCTCCTTCCATATCATATTTAATAACTTTTGAATATCGTATTATTTAAATAACAAATTAAGATTAAAACTCCCGTCCGAATAAACACAATTTTAATCGTTTGATTTATAATAATTACGAGTTATTACTCATAAGTATAACGCGGTCCATATTAAGCCGTAACTCTGGCGAACAGAAAATCACAAATAGAAATTTGCATACACAATATATGAGTAACAGTAAAGTTACCGACCCACATGTGACGCTGTGATTGCAAACAGAATAAATAACATCCAATGAGAATATTTAGTTGTATGGGAAACTCGATTTCAGTATTACCGTGATTTATATTATATTCTGTTTGAAGCAAAAACATTGACAGCATCATATCGGTTCCAATTATCATACTTTAATACCTAAAAAACACAATTACGTCAATACGTCTTCATTCAATATTTAAAATAACGTAAGATTATTGAATACTTGATACTTTAACCTCAAATATGTTGTTTTACCTGCTTTTTTTGTTGGGTGAAGATATTTTAAAACGTTGCAAAATGACAACAACACTTAACTATGCTATTCCATATGGTTCCACTTCACCGGTCTCCCCAACCTATATCTACGAACCATGTAATTTGAATAAATAGGAATATGCATCGATGCAACTTACGTGAAAGTCATTTAAGAGTTTGAAAGTTTTTTTATATATACGTATTGAATTCCTTTAAGTTCCCACGATAGTTAAAATCTTTTCCAATCATTATATAGTCTTAGGTTATTGATCGTATATTTATGTGGAATTATATTTCATATTTTATTAGTTAAGTCTTCAATAGAAAACGCGTGTGGAGTTGAAAAAATTACACAATGACGGCAATTTTCATTGAACCACGAGCCGTTTTATATTGCATAATACATGAACCAGTCGTTTATACTGTTAATATAATATTCTTTTGTATATATATGTAAAGTTATCATGATTTTTAGAAACGTGCCAGTGCTTCATGATTTAACATATCTCATTAAAATCTTTACGCCCCACGGTTCAGTCTCGGCCTGCTAATCAGATACGGTTGTAAGCTGTTCTCTCTAGAATATAAACACTTAGTCTTTGCTGTATTTTTTGTAATTAGTCTAATGTTTAGCACAAGCTGAAACTCGTTGATAACTAGTTTAAAAATTGCCCCGTTTAAAATACTTACCTACATTGTGTTTTATTGATATAAAATATCGTTTTGAAACAGATTTTTATTATGTATAAGTACTTGGAATTCGTAAACTTCAATGTCGTATTGAACTCAGTTTAAAAAGTTCATTTTATAAGAGTCAAAAGAAAATATACGAACGACTAACTTTATTCATAAAATTATATCAAACTATATAAAATTTCTTGTAATACAAAATATTATAGTGCAGCTAATTATTAATGTTAAAACAATATACCAATTGAAATATTTATATGTAATCTGTATTCACAAATCATTATTCAATACACTAAATGTTTACATATACGCAGAATTAATTCAGCTTGCAATGCAACATTGTGTTATTATCGTGTTTAGTTACCAAATACATAGCTATCATATTGATGAAGGCATCAATGTTAATATTTTATTATAAATACATTGAACCAAATAGCCTAGCCTCTCCCACATAATCTATACTAGTAAAACATCTAGAATAATCCATCGTATACTTGTATCGCTTCGGTAAACTTACATCAATCTAGCTTTTGTATTTAAGCGCCAGACCTACTCAAAACGAGCTCCCAAAATCTGTATACATTCACCTTATACACTAATTGAATGCCGTTAATTTACAGGAGCACATTAATTTAAATCGATCGAAATCTTTTCGATACTCAGTTAACTACTTAATCGATATTGAATCAAAGTATTCACAAAATTGATATAAATAAAATCGGTTTTTAATTTTTTTTTTTGATTCAAAATAATGAAATATTCCGAAATTTAATTTTAAGAACTTTCTAGAAGAAATAACTTCACAAATTCAACTTATATATTCTAAACGCAATATGACGAAGACGCGAACAAATATTTTCAAGTAGAACACAAATATTCACGAAATACAAATAATATTTCACAATTGTAACAATAATACGTGAATTCAAAAAGAACGGTCACGGACTTTAAAATTTAAATAAAAAATATATTCACAGCCGACAAAGTAAGTCATAATTACAAAATTGATTTATAAAATATTTAAACTGTAACAGCAACCCAAATATTTACAGAGAACGTCGACAAAAAGTGATTTATCCCAGAGTCGAAATGTATCGAAAATCTGAATGGTAAAACATACAATGATTGCTGCTTAAAAGGCGTGACACGTTACGCTGTCGCGATGTCACGGCGCGGCTCCTCACTAGCAATCCGTTGCTTTGATTTAAATTCAAAAATGAAATGAATATATCCCATTATATAATCTGTGATTTATTTGCAGATTATAATATGATATTATTCCGTAAATAAAATTGTCATTTTATAATATTTTGTTTCATAATTATTATAGAACTAACTGTGCCCGCGACTTCGACGTGATACTGTAATTTGACATAGCTTTTTTATTTATGAACCGATTGACATGAAACAAACACTAAAGTATAACTGAAGCATACCACAATATATTCGTGAAAACCGCATCCAACTCGGATCAGCCGTTTCTGAGGTTAGCGTGAACAGACAAACAGACAAAAAAAAGTTAACTACATTTTTGGGTTCAACATCGACATAACAATAACTTCTGCTATTTTTTTATTTTTATTTTCAATGTACAGACAGCAGTTTTCTACAATTTTATTATATCTATAGTTATCTCATGTATCTGGCCACGCTATTTATAATCGGTAGATAATATTACGATTGAGATTCAAATAGTAGATTAGATGAATGAAATGAGCATTAAAATTTTTGTACCTGACAGAAATGTAGAAAAGGTATGTATGTAAAGTTCATTTGTTGTAGTTCCTGAACAAAAGTAACATAAAGGAATCAGTTTTGCTAGTTCGTTCCTCTTTAGGTAAATTGTTACAAAGATAGTTTAAGTAGCCATAACTTTGAACTATAAGTCTCGACTAAATCTTTCCAAGTTAAAGCCTGAAGAATGAACAAATATTGAATTTATTGTTAGCCTGTTTCAAGTACAGCTCCAAGAAGTTTTCATTGTTTTAGAATGTCATTGTCAACTGACTTTTTTGTTCTAGTCGAATTATTTTAGCAACGCGTCTATAAAAACAATTTGTTTTTCTATTTTTGTCAACATCTGTTTCTGTTTCTCTTTATATTTTATATTTGTAGTACAAAACATTAATTGAAAGTAGCCATTTTTCTCGTTGTACACATTTGTTGATCGTCAGAAGTCCATTTAAGTTATTTGTATTATATTTTTTAATGAACTTGTGTACACTATACTTTATTCTTCAGGTTGTGTAAAAACTGTAAGATAATTTCATTTAAGATGTAGTGCTTATTTCCTTTTTATTTATTTCAGTACTATATTTAACAAATTTTTTGTCAAAACATTTAATAAACTAAAATTGATTCCAAAGTTGATTGTTCCATTCTTTATAAAATGAGTAATAAACCAAGAATTGGACGAACAAAAATAATAGTAAAATTCTTGCATCCACTATAGATAAAAAATACCGCTAAAAGGATTTTAAGATATCTGAATTTTAAAACCATTTAATTATGAAACTGTATTGTAAAATTTATGAAGAAAAAATGCAAATTGACACATATTCAAGGACATTAAAAGATCGCTATCAGAATTAACCAGTAGAAAGTTTAAAATGTGTATACATTATTACAGACGCCGTTCAACGTTTCGTCGAATTGCCGACGTACACTGAGGTGAATCCGGGTGAAGACGCATTACTTACATGTCGGATATCAGATAAGAAAGGCGTCTGCTCCTGGCAGAAGGATAATAAGGTAAAATACTATCAAAATATGAAGGTTATAATAGTAAGAGAGTAATACTTGTATACAACAATCATTTCTATTCGAACGGATTATATCATACTTTGAATTTCATTTCCAAACGTCACCTGTTCACATTCGCATCGATAATTAAAAACATAAAAATCAATTTAAAACAAATTAATTTATCGAATTTTATAATTATATTCGTTTTATGCGACAATTGATACAAAAGCTTAATAAATTTTCATAATTTTCCACTGATAATCGCTGTGAGGCTTAACGTTCTCCCTCACGATGGGGACAGATAAAATATGTGAATATTAAAGTCGTATCCACGTTATACGGCTATATGTGATCCTTGCGTATGAAATTAAAAAATATTTGACGTACGCAGATATTGTAATGTCTTTTGTGACGGCGATTTAACGGATATTATTTATGAAGCGAGATTTTAAATGTTCAATTCTACCTAAGCTTTTTTAGATGTAATAAATCGTGTGTTAGTGTGGGTACACACACACACACACACACACACACACACACACACACACACACACACACACACACACACACACACACACACACACACACATATACACATACCCATACACACTCACACACAAACATCTCATGTAACACGTATAAATTTTAAATAAGACCCAATACAACAAATAGATTCTATATTTCCAATACTCTGTATAAACAGGAAACGTTAAGTCACAATAAAACCTTATTACTTACTTTTCACTAATAATTAAGTTACAGCCGAGTTAATAGAGTGGGACTCGAGAGAGCAAACTTTAATTAAACAGCATTTTGCATGATCGCAGTTTTTCATTCGAGATTTAACAATTATATTTATAACGTGGTAGCGCGTTTTAAATTCTGACATTCAATTAATTTTTTTAGTTAATGACACGTAAGAATTCAGAGTGGCATAAATTTAAGGGGGATACATTAAGGAATTATACTGGGATAAATAATCTTTTAAATAGCTTATAATTACTCGATGTTTCTGTGAACGCTACAACAACACGACAACAACAAAAAAAAACAATTTTTTCTGTGTTTTTCACTTAGTCTACCTTCCATACTGTATACTTTTGACACATACTCTTTATTTTCAATCAAACTTCATAACAAAAATGTCATGACGTCAACAATCATTAACACGCCTCAACTTTCTGTAGTGTGTAAACATTAGCCATTATTGTTTGAACCATTAGCACTTAACTACACGATAATGACAAAATCATAATGTCACCCAGCTACCTATAAACGAATGGAATTAAATATAAAAACCGACACCGAGGAAACTTGGATTGCTTTTCAATTTGTTTTCTCATTTAAATTTTAATTAACATCCCAAGTGCTTGTATTTAAAGGAAAGTTTTATCCCTGTTAAAACACTTGAATGTATGTTCAAGAAAAATAACTCTATACCATCTTCATGATATTCAATTATAACGATGTATAAATTTAAAATATTATTTGAACAATTCTTGTTTATTAATTGATACTAAAGGATTTGGTAGAAGGTAAACTGAACCGAAATAGATTCTTAAATACAAAATTAGTTAGAAATGCTTGGAATTATTAATAATTGAATAATATTGAATTAGATATTCTTAAAATAAATTAACTTGCAAATAATAATTTATAATAAGCGGTCAGCGTAACTGATATTGCGAATGGGAAGGAAAGTTATTGGTTTAAATTTATTATAATTAATTACTACTTTGTTTCATTGACTACCTCCATTATGAAGCAAATTTAAAGTAAATTTTGACGTGTATTTTGCAAATGCACAAAAATTGATTGACGATTAATATATGTGTATAAGAATTAGGAAGCATAGTTCCCAAAGAAGGTTGATGTCAGGCAGGCGGCCGGTCCTAAAAAAACATTTAGCCAAAACTATTTACAACATGTAAGGCAGACCCTGGCTAAACCTGGAAAATTGCCAGGTAGAAGAAATAAGGATTATTAGTTTTGGTATGCGCTGATCAAAAAATGAAGTCTACCTTATAATGATTACCTTCTGCTGCGATATGCAAATTAAATATGTAACATAAAATTCTTCTAGAAATGCATTGAAACAAAATCCATTAAGACACCTAGAACTTTAAATACTAATTTTTTTAAAGACTTATTATAATAAAGCAATTAAATTACGTAATAGAGCAATCATCTGAAGGTAGACTGTTAATTATTTGAATTAATATTCAGAAATCACCAGCAATCAAATCAGGTAATATGGACTTAACAGCGACACATGAGAACAAATAGACCACAGGGCTGCGGTTTGTGGCAGGCCACGGATAGGGCTGCCACGTGTAGCTTACATGGAAATCGATATTTTTGTTCCATATTATAAGTGGTTCCTTTCATTATATGTATAAAATCAGGCCATTTAGAGTTTGCTTTCCTGACACCTTTTAATTTACCGTGATTAGTGGTCTACAATTAAATAATTTCTATAATATTTAACCAAGACAAATATCTTCTAAATAAAAATAACAACACATTATAAAATATTGGTATGTAATTAATGGTATACACATATATAATAATACTTTTTGCGAATATTATTCCAAGTCTGATTCTAGGGACAAAAAAATGTTATTGCAAAATGTTCGTTATTTTGACAACCCTCAAATATTTTAGCATACTTAACAGCGCACACTTGCAATATCATTATGATCAACTACCTCTTAGTGTCCTTACGTAACTATTATAGAAGAAATTTATAAATTTTACTCAATTAAATATATATATTTACTCAAATGAATGTATGGTAGTATGTTCCTTAAAAGTAATTTGATTTACATATCATAAAACCAAAACTTGTATATATATTTGAATATAATTAAAAAACAAAACTGTATAAAATGATATCTATATATCAAAAAGTGTTATTTAAACTAATATAAAATTAAATTTTTACAATTAATATCAAATTTAATGAGATCTAAGATTTTCACGAGTTTTTTCTCATCTCGTCTGCCCATGATCACGGTAGCTGAAAAGTAATCGAAACGTCAGGAGTACCTAAATAGTTTTTTACAAAAGTAAAGCAGGCGCTAAGTTTCACTTAAATTTCATTAATAAAACTCATTAATATCTATTACTCTGTGAAATTCATTCGTTTAAAATAACTGCATAAGAAAAAGTTTATGTAATTTAATGAAAGAACACTTAGTAGTATTTCAGTACTAAATTGCGTGTTCACCCATTACAAAGAGGTAACAAACAAGCATAATGAATGCCAGGGATTAATTGGAACAACTACAGGTAAATTATAAAGAATTATTGTGTAATACAAACATTATATATTCTTCAAATAACAATATAACTTTAAATAAGATATCATAAACGAAATATTAGTCTTATAAAGAAGTTTGAAATCGTTGATGGCTTACAAAAAAATATATACAAAACTGTCTATATATTTCTCATTATTTTAAAAGAAATGTATTAATTAATAATGAAATCTAAGATTTTCGCGAGTTTTATTTAAATGAAACTTATCTCGTCTGCTCGTGATCACGGTTGCTAAAAAGTAACTGAAACGTCAGGAGCATGTAGTTTTTACAAAAATAAAGTCACACAAGTACAATATCCGAAAAATATTAGTATCATTTAAATAAATGTATTAAAATTTTTCTTCCATAAAATCTGATACCTTCATTGTAAAATATCTTTTATACGGTTCGCGTGGATTGAGTAACAAATATAGTCAAGTGAACTATTTGCAGCCACTTGCATTCCGAGAAGAACATCTGCATAACTGAAGCTGTATCTTATATAATAGCAAAGATTAAGTTAGTCACGTCTTTGAATTCGCAAACCCAAAATACTTTAAACAAAAAACACTATATGTTCTTCTTCTACCTGGCAATTTCCCAGCTATAGCCAGGGTCTGCCTTACATGTTGTGAATAGTTTTGGCTAATTGTTTTTATAACTGGCCGCCTGCCTGACATCAACCCTCTTTAGGAATGCATTAATCAGTGATGTCTAAATACTCTTAGAAAGTACATATGACTCGGAAAATTCACAGCGGTACTTGCCAGCATCGAACCCGCGCCCTCATGCTTGACAGGCGGGCCTTTTAACCACTAGGCCACCACTGATTTTAAAAGCACTATATATTGATATATAATTTTTATTGCATATAATTTCATTCTTAAATACATACGATAAAGGAAATTCACGTAATCTAATTATATAGGCGACCTAATTGCGTTTTCATGTACATAAATTTCAAAAAGTATTATTAACCATTAAAAGGTGTTGGGACGTACTTAACTGATAGCGAGTGTAAATTCTATATAAAACAAAGTTAAAACAAAGAACGCTTAATTCAGCTAATACCAAAAAAGGTGTGAAGAGACTTTGAGATGAAACATTTCACGGGGGCGCGTGTTATATCACATTTATCAAGTCCTTAGTAAATCCTCTCTATACCATTATTTCTTATTAATATTACGTTGAAATTGAAAATTATTTGAACAAAACAATATATTTAATCACTCAATAAAATATAAACATTTAAAACAATTTAATAAAAAAATACATATTGTACAACTTCGCCTTAATAAAGAATGGTATAAAAATCTAAGTCTTTTACTAAAGTATGTATAAGAACTACATTTAAGGCGAAGACGAACCGTTTAAACGTTTAGTTTCATCACAAGAGAACTTTCAAAACCTTAAAACATTACAAACACCGTATAACTCACTAGACGGAACATTTGAAAGTTAATTCCAAACTCTTCCGTGATACAGAACTCATTTAGCATACAGATAAAACTAAACGCTTAACCGTCGGTTATCATGGAGCCGGGCTCTATTTAGTATGAACAATCGCAGTCAAAGCAAGATCTGAATCTTAAGTAACTTTAGTCACGTTTTAAACTCGGTTCTGTTAGGACTGATTCATGTCTACAATATAATTATTACTAACACAGACGACATACTATATAATAAAATTAATACTGATTTTTT